ACAACAATTTTCTTGAAAAGTTAGTAAAAAAAACTTGTCCAAACGCGAGAAGCAGCATAGAAAGTTGCTTTATAATCAACGAAAAAATTTATAGTGAAGATTTGAGTAACTACATCCACAAAGAACTAGAGCTTTCGATACTTTTAATTTGATATCTCGAGTAAATTTTCCGCAACATAAACTATACACCCAAAAGACAAAATATATACTTTTTCGAATGATTTTTATTGCAATTTAACAATTTATTTTGCGTCAAAGTAAAAAAAGTGTAAGCCAGTGACAGGTTAAGATTTTCATCCGTTTTCTAAGCTTTTGTAGACTTTAAAAAAATTGAAGAATATATATGCTTGGGGTACGCTGTTAATGTTTAAGCTTGTAAATATTTCTGAGTAAACAAATATTGAGTAAATATTTTGAGTAAGGAGGATATTATATTTAAATTAGGAGCCTGAGTAAATTTCAGTTCAGTTAAGTAACATAAATTCGGCCTGGCCTTGTTTTTGATTCGGCCTATGTTTTGTCGGCTAGACGGCTGGTACCCTGGACAGACGCTGATTCAACCTAGTTAACAATAATAACAAGACATTTATTATCATGTTTCTGCATTTTAAGCCTTTTTTGAGATCGAATGTTTTCAAGGTTCTATTTTCGAAAAGTTGTAAAAAAAAGTTTAAAAAGTTTTTTCACCAGCTTACAAAAACAAAAAATTATCAAGATAATACTAAAAGCTGCACCACCATCGATATAATGAACTGAGAAATATAATGGATTTTGATTGATTAAGCGTAAATTATTTTTAGAGAGAAACAAAAATTAACAAAAATGAAAAAATCGATCCTAATGGAGTAAAAATTGATTTTGTTGCCTCAAAAAATGGTAACATTATAGTCCATTTTCAATTGATTATGATCAATTTTTTTTCACTTTAGTGGGCAATGAAAATGAAACTCAATTATAATCAATTTTTATTCATGGATTTCCAATGCGGGGTATTTTTATTCAGACCAAAATCTAAAAGTAAATTTGGTCGCTTGAGTATCCGTTCTTCCATCTTGGTGGGGCCGGGCGCTCACACCTCGAAATTATCCTGGCTATGAGGTCAAGTTGTTTGTTTTATTTTTTCACTGCTGAGAGCTAGTGCCGGGCACCAGGCCGACGGGACTGTAAGCCGAGTTCGTAAAATTAGCGACTTCAAGCAAAAAAAAATGGAAAACCACTTAATTGAAATAAATTTAACTTAGCTTTGATGAATTCATCCATTGCAACGAGTGAGTTTTAGTGTCTTTAAAACACTGGAACACAATTTAATTTCGGGCTGAAGTCTCTTCGGCACAAATTTCTGTCGGCTTGTTGATTCAGATTTCTAGACCCGCTAAAAAGATAACGCAAATTATTTACGCGTGGCTAATTATCTTTTACCGCAAAAACCGTTCCGGATGGAATTGAGCAAGCTAACTGTTTCAACTCAAGTTTTTCCACCTTAAGTTAAAAATTATTAGCGTAAAGTTCATAATTTGTCAAAAATTTTTTACCAAAAGTTATTCGAGACAAGCTAAAGGACAGCCGGAGAAATCAAGGTTTTGCCTTGAAACAAGCAGATTTTTGTTTTTGAGATTCACAGATGAAACTTTCCATTGACAATTGTTTTGCTGACTCTGTCCAATCTTTTCATATTCTCGGCGGTCTCAAATCTTGTGTTGTTGTTCGGACTTTCGAAAAAAAATCAAATATTTATGCTCGGTGTGGTTTTTTTATTCAGTCTATTTCGCGAATTATTTATGCGTGGCGAATCCTCCCGCGCAACAAAATCGTTCCAAATTGAACTGAGGCCAACTAATTGCTCGTATTAAGATCCAGCGACTCAACATTTTTCACTTTGTTATTGTCCAAAATCTGGATATTGTCCAAAAGGCTGAAAATTTGAATTTGTACAGCTGAAATTTTGAATTTGTACAATTACTTAAGAAAATAATTTTAAAAAGCTGAAAAACCATTGATCTTGTTTCTTTGTTCAATGAGTTGGCATATTCAAGCACAAAGCATTGAGTCAGTTGTGTTTGCTAAGTATTTAAATGGTTGAAGTTTGAATATTTTTGATGTTCCTGTAAAAATTTTTAATTTCTTACTGGGTATTATGTTGTGCTTTTGATAGCTTAAGCCCTCGCAATCAAAGCAAGGTTTTGGGTTGAGCCTGTAGTTTTAAAACAATTATGATTATATCCTTTATAAAAGTCTAGGACAAAACTCAGACGGGACTTCAAGAAGAAGAGACTTCAGGCCGAAATTTAATTTTTACAAGCTCTCTATTTTCTTCTGTAACATATTTTTGTTTCAAATAATTAGGCAATTTCAGTCCAAAATAAGAGTTATTCATGTCTATCCACCAATTACGAATAATATCCGATTTTAACACCAGCCGGACTTTGAAATGCATTCATTATTAATGAGCAAAATGCCTTCAAAAATGTTTTAAATTTATAACATTGCTTAAAATCAATTAGAGGCTGAAATTTTGTTAAAAAGCCAAAAACGGTGGAAAAAGATCATGAAATTTAGAAATTGTATAGAAAGTTTATGATTTTTTGAGGAAGAGTTTGGTTTGAAATCGCGATTTTTACAATTCGGCTTGAAATTCCGTCGGCTTGATGTTCAGCACCCAGTTTGTAGCATTGAATTTTTACAAATTGATATAAACAGTTTATAGGGGTGTAGTAGTAATGAGTGCGTGTTCAATAGCAGATTATTGGTAAAACAAAACTGTGAAAAACAGATAAGAAATTTGCAATTTACAAACAAAAAAAGATTACAGCAGACTTGTAGATGAAAAATTGTTTCGATCTTGAGCTCAAAGCATTCACTATTCAAGACACTTCAAATAATCCAGCAAAAAAGAACTTTTTTTTGACGAAAAAGCAAATTTTTGTTTTACAAAAACAAGCATGAGCGATAATTAGAACCCTAGGCAAAATTTCTGCTTTTTAGTTCTATTTTAGTTCCACTTCTGCTTTTTAGAACCCTGCTTTTAGTTCCTTGACAATTTTGCGAGATTTTTCAGAATAATTAATTGTGCGCTCGAAATTTGGTCATGTTTTTTCAATACATTTTAGTCATTGTCTTAACTCCTTGGCCGTGGTTTCTTGACTTAAACTATTAAAAAATCATCATTTTTACAAACCAGGTAGCATAGTTCAGATAGCTATATAGAAAACTACGCAATTAACTCACGAATTTTGCGCAAAACATGGCACTAAGATGTACGGTTTATGTTCAAAAAATGATCTATGCTAGCAAAAATGCAACTGTAATTACCAAAACTGGTTTACAGAAAAAAGTACCAAACTCAAATATTTTCCGTTAAAAAAGGCTTTTGAACTAAGGCAGAAACTGCGGAACAATATTTTTGCGTTTTAGATTTCTTATAGCACAAAAACCCGGTCGATTTTGAAAAACCCGAGTAATTTCGTTTTTTTTTGTGTGTGTTATCAAAATAAAGATTAGCAACAAGTTCAACAAGACTACTCGTATGAGGGCAAAGCCCTCAATGTTCCGACTGCCTTTTAAGGTTTTATGGAGCAGTAATAACATTAAAAAATTAAATGTAAGAAAAAATAAAATGAAATTTTTTTTTCCAAAAATTGAATTTTTTTTGTGAAAATCATTGCCCCACACGCCATACAAAGAATAAAACGATAGATTTTGCTCCTTGCATCAAATCAATTATGGCAAATAAGCTTCTTTCAACCAATTTGGAACGATTTTTAGACCGATCAACTCTCCGCTCACGCGTTAATAGCGCTAAATATATCGCGCGTTAATTGTCCCAAATTGGCCAAAATGGCAATCTTTAAACCCCCATAACTTTACGAAAAATGATAACAGGTGAAATATCTTTTCAACTCAGAACAACAATACCTTTCGAATGATGTAAAAAAATTCCGTCAAAAATGGCTAGTTAAAAAGTCGAAATTTGTCTGAAGAAATAAAAAACCCACCCCGAGCACAAATATTCCGTTACTTTCGTATCGAAAGTCGGAACAATAAAGCAGATCTTTAACGGCTGCCTTAATCTTCGATTAAAAAAAGTAAATTTGATTTGAGTAATGAATTTGTATGTATTCTTTGTTTTTTTCAGAACAATTAAAGAGTATCCGGCAGCCTTCAGCTTTTTCCAAAAACTGTTGCATTTTTTCTTACAAAAACTTATCTTGAGCTCTTTTCTCGGCTAGTCAAATTGAACTGAGATTAGCTACCAAATAGATGTAAGAATGCTCGTATCAGGGCGAATCCCTGAATGTTCCGACTGCCTTTTCAGGTTTATGGAGCAGTAGTAACATCAAAAAGTTAAATGTAATAAATTTTTTAAAAAAATCTAAAATTTGAACTTTTTTATGAAATCATCCCCCCACACGCCATATAAAGTACAAAAGAATACATTTTGCTCATTGTAACATATCAATTATGGCAGTTATGCTTCTTTCAAGCATTTTGGAACGATTTCAAAGACGGATTAAATTCTTCAAATTTAAGCTCAGGACAACAATATCTTTTGAATGATATTTAAAAAAATCCGTCAAAAATGGCTAGTTAAAAAATCAAAATTTGTCTGAAGAAAAAAAAACCCACCCCGAGCACAAATATTCCGTTACTTTCATATCGAAAGGCGGAACAAAAACTGACCTGAATTTAACTTCAAAAGTCTTCTAAATTAAAAATTTGATGTGACTGATTTATTGAAATTAATTTCCCGTCTCTGCATTTTGGAATCCGAAATACGACTGAAGCAGAATTAATTGTCTGACGTATCAGTCAAACACAGCTGACATTTTACTTGTGGAATTTGATTTTATATGGAAAAACTTCTAATAAACAGCTAACTTTTTGATGTTTATTTCTTTAACTTTTATCTATTTTTCTAGAAATTATGTGCTGTAAATACTTTTCCCTGACCAAACAAATAACAGAGCGACAAATAATTATAAGCGATGTGTTGTATTGTCAGGTTTCAGTTTAGATCCAAAATATCTCTCATCATCATTGTGCGTTTCGGAGCTACTTTCGGTGCATTCATCGGAACAGTCTGTACTAGGCTCGGACATAATTTGATATCATCTACTTTTCCATCTAGGTTCATTGACGTCTGTTTTTGGGATGCATTCGGTTGATATTTGTGAGGATGTTTCTCCAATATTGAGTAATTGATAGTGTGATTGGAGAAATTGTTCAATGTCTTGTTTAGATGCATCCCTGTCGGAATGTTCGTATGAAAGTCGGAAGGCGGCGGCATTCGAGTTATGTTAATCGGCTGGTTGCTACGTGGCTTTAATAATGCGGCGTTTGTGAATGGATGAGGTAGTTGTTGCGTTAAAAGCACCATTTTCGTGAAATTGAACTTGTAAGTGAAGCGTTTGCCTTTGATTTTCTTGAGAATCTGCTTGTTGTAGTAGTACCTAGAATAAAAAACACTTTTACTGCTCCGACTTCATTTCTCTACACAGTTTATTCGCTCCGATTTCATTTGAATTAGTCAGAAATAAATTTGCATCGCTTTTTTATCACAATATGTCATATCTTCAGTTTTGGAACACTACGAATTTCTGGAATGGAGGACCAAACCCATTCAAAAGACCCGTGTTGGTGTTTTTGCAGCTCATTTTTCTATTCATTTATAGCAAAAGTGCTACGTTTTTGTTGTCAAATTAGAAGCTCTTTTTGTTAAAACCCTCCAAAATTGGGGAAATATTGGCTCAAAGATAATCAAACTTTTACAAACATTTTTTTCAATAGTACTTCATGTACTTTTCTGAAAAACCTACTGTGGGTACTGTTTAAAATTGTCACTGAAGTTTTCCAAATACTTTCCCTCATCCCGAAATCAGAAAAGAAGCCCCGCTTTTATAATTACAGGATTTGGAGCTGTTGTCTTGCCTGAGTGCGCGACTGAGTTTGTCGTAGTTCATCTGTGGCTTGCATTTCCTCTCCCCCCACAGACGGGCCACTTCGTCAGGGTCCTTGATCACAAACTCCCCCATGTCACCCTGCCATCTGCCAAAAATTTTAATTACCAATCATACTGTTTTCATTTTCAAGAAGGAAACAGACTCGATTATGAATTACACAACTCATGAAAATAAAAAGACCTCTTGGAAGAACATCAAAAAGGCCAATTAGCTATCGAGTGGTGTCTTCAACTTAGGAATCAACCATAAAAAAGAGTCTCAATTGCTTGCGTGGGGTCAATCCGATCCTAGAACAAAAAACTGTGTCGGATCTAGGACGCTTGCAAGAGTGGGGGAGTGGGGGGGGGGGGTGGATTTTCAATCGACACTTTGCTGATGAGTGGCTAAATTTCTCAGAAAAAGCGTCCACCCTCCCCCATTCTTTTCTTATAAATTTAACCCTATATGAGAAATGCTAGATCTTAAATTTTACTGAAAGTAGGAACAAATTTTTTTCTTACCTGATTACATGTTTGTAGCTTTTTTCACTACTCGAGGAAGGTGTGGAGTTGTTTAGCAGTTCCAGTAGAAAGTGCCACAGTTGAATCTGACGCGACCCTGGACAACTCTCTGCTTTGTATGCCCATGCAGGGAGAGAAGCAAATGAGCCCGTGGGAGAGGTCAAGTGCATGGCCTGGTGAAGGGTGGTTGGCTGGAGTTTGTCCAGGGGTGGGTTCAAAAGTGGATCACGGTGGTGTATGTTTTGTAGGCTGTTTGGATTAGATTGATGTCTATGAAATTGGCTGCTGAAAGGAGATGAAAGCAATGCAGTTCCTGAAAGTGACAAAAAGACAACTGCGAGTAAAAGGTAGATATTTTGTTTGAAAACAAAAAAAAATGAAAATTTTAACCGTTTTTCTACAACTCGTTTTTTCTAGAGGCCAAAGACAATAGAAAATAGAAACATCCAGCTATTTTCAATCGAAATATCGGGTGAGGCAACAATTCTCAAACCAGAAAAATTGCCTAACATTTATTTTGAATTCTTAAACAGGACCACGTGAAAAACTCAACTGGTCATAAGTTGGTTTTTTCCCGAAGACATAAATAACCTAAACTTTTAGAAAACCCATAAGAAACCTCAGCAAAAAAAAACGATTGAAACAGAAAATAATGAATTCAAAAATGGTTATAGAAACTTACAGGCTTAACTTTCACCAAAATATGCTAATGCGCATACTTACCAGATTGGTAAATGTTGTTACTGATCGCAGTCTGGTTTTTCTTCTGACAAAGCATCGAACTTATTGAATTGTTTCCTAGAAATAATCTCAAGTTATCCTCGTAAGTTTGCTTATTCAGACATATATTCTTCGAATTGTCGTAAGGGTTCAGATAAAAACTCGGATGTAAGCAATCATACGGGGCAAGTTTTGAATAATTTATCATGGAATTGGTAGTTGCGTGATAGAAGTCCATAATTTTATGGAACTCGATCAATTGAAACTTCGAAAAAAACTCGTGTTTTCAGAGCAATTTTTTGATTTTTTATTAAAAATAATTAAAGGTGAAGCCAAAAAAAAGCCGAAAACAGAAAATAAAAAGGACAATTCTTGATATGAGTTCAAAATATGTTTCGAAAAATTGTTGACTCCGCAAGTTGAAATTGGACAGAAAATAAACAAGCAAGTCGATTGGATTAAGTCTCGGCTAATCAGAGTCTGGCACCGCTGGCTTTTTCCGTTGGTACTAGCCAGCTAAGGCTTGCACTTGGTATAATGACATAAGAGGAAGACAAATTTCGGCCAAATCCGACCTGCAGCTGCGAATCTAAATCGGCGTCTGTTTCTCATCAGTTGTCAAGTTATAACAGATAGTTCTATAGATATATTATACCCCAATGACAAATGACACTAATCCTATGTACTGTAATCTAATAATGAAACTGGTATAACTGCTGGTATAATTTAGGCGGGCATTTGCCAAAGAGCACTACTAGTAGCGCTGTCAATTAAGTCCAGGTAAGTCCGGGGATCCCGTTGGGTCTGGGGGGTTGCGGATATTGGGATAGGGATCCGGTAGCCTGGGATCCAGTTTGGGGAAGTATCGGCGGGATTGTTTGACGTTTTTTGGGCAGGTTGCGGATTAACGGCGACAATATTTTTATTGTTTTAATCAATTGATCAATTCCTTCCATGTGGCGCAAAACCAGATCCTCTCGGGGGGATTTTGGCCGGCAAGAAAGTGCAACGAGGACTGGTTAGTTAGGGGATTTGGATCACTTACTCAATGGCAATCAAAGCCACCTGTCACAGCTCACTAAGCCGTCACGCTCAAAAGGCCGAATCAACAAAGGAAGAAAATTTCAATTTTAAAAGAAACAGATTTATGTTCTTTTCAAAAACTAATTTTCATTTGTGGTTTTCATTTTCTTTCAATTGATTTATAGATAAGTTTTATGCTCATATAAACTTTTAAAAAGTCAAAAGCAACCAAATAAAATGAGTAGATGAAAAAAAACTTGTAGCAGACTATCTAAATAAACTCGTAGGTAAACATGTTGCGAAAACTATACTCAGTTATACGTGTTAAACGAAAGCTTTCATCTTACTAATATTGAACTTAAATTTATGGAAGATCGACTATCTGATCTGTAGGTTGTTTGAAAGATGCAGGCTTAATTCCGTATTTATCTCTTTGTAGTTGGTTCAACTTAGCCCAATTGGGATTAGCCCACGGGAAAGATATTGGCACTTGTGATCTCCCCTCACTGATTGACAGGAGGCTAGATTGGTACACCTGGTGAACTAGTTAGTGATATTAGCCCAGGCTTTCAGACGCCACTCTGTCGCCTTCCAATTAACCGAGTGCTAATGTGTCGATCAGGATAAAACGATGGCCCCATTTACGGCATAAATAGTCGCCCAGAAACCCAGAAACTAAGTTTGGCCCTAAATCATAAATTAACAATCATCAGACCTGAACCCTTTTAGAAATTGAGTAATTAATGCTTCAAGTCATTTCATGAAAGATAAATTGACAAAATTTAAGTGAGCTTATTCCTGAAAAAGACCAATAAGTTATTTTAAAACATGTTCACAGCCATTGTCACTCGGCTCAATGTCCCTTTTCCATGTACATTTTTTCAGAAAAGAGAGAAAAGATAAACTATTCAAGTCTTTTTCAGCGAAAAAAAAACAGTGTGATAGAGCTTTTTAGAAATAAAGGTCACATTGTTTATTTTTCACATTGAAATAAAGGTCCATTAAAAAAGAACTGCTATGTGCAAACAAAATTAGTCGGGTAACTCAAACCTGCTACTAGGCTAAAAAAACGCACTGTGCTTTTATTATGTCCATTCTTTTTTAAAAAGTTGTTGCTCCGATAACCTATCAATTTTTTCTGAATTATTTTGATCACAGCCGGTGTGAATTAAAATTCGGGCGGAAAAAAAACTGTGTCTGTGCAAAACAGTCCCATACAAAACAGTCCAATACAAAACGGTCCAAAAAGTCAGAAATTGAACGAAAAAACAGTCAGATACAAAACAGTCCGAAAAAGTAAGAAATTGAAGAAAAAAAACAAACCGATACAAAACAATCCAAAAAAGTAAGAAATTGAAAGAAAAAACAGTCCAATACAAAACAGGCCGAAAAACAGTCTCAAGCAATAATTGTTTTAACAAGCCGGTAGCCCGAGAATTGTCCTTTGTTCAACGAACATAAAGAACAAAATAGTGACCACCGCTTTTGCTCGGTCCCTATCTTTCGCAGACTCCACTTCGGATTTAAATAGTGGGCTGACCTCTCGACTGCTTTGTTCTTTTCTGACAATCTTTACGTTGTCTCTTGACTGGTCAATCTTTTTCTTGAGCTGAGAGGCAGTTAATGCTGAACGCTCCAGATGTTCTTTATCTAAACGAAATTTTAAAAAACGAATCTCTTAGGATTTTGAACTCAGTTTTTGGAAGGCGTCCGAAATGAGCTTCAAATGGCAAACATTGGATCGTCTTTTGTTTGCTCCTCTAAGATCCTGAATTATTTAGCTCAGAGCAAGTTTTATTGATCTGAAATTTTCGTCCAATAACATATCTCCCAATCTTCGTTTGATAGTTTGTGTTGTTCTTTCGACCACTTTCGACCAGACCTGGACAGAATTTTTGTTCGATGTTATGCTCGGTACAGAATTTTTTCATCGTTTTACCTTTAAAGCCCGAGAATGGATTAGTTCTTATTGATTCTGGGGTTTCATGTGTGTCAATGTAAGTACGTAGAAATTTCACAGAAGATTTACCCCCAGTCGACTTTGTGACCTTTACCGACGGAAATTTCGAATATCTATCTATAGGTACAAATAGGTAATTTTGCCTTCTATTTGCACCTTTACATATTTACTTTCTATTTGTGGGTGCTGATTTCTGAGATGTAAGAATCCCCATTTTCCCTTGTAAATCCAGACCCAGAATACATCTTGCTCGACGTTCTGTGACAAGCAAGGATACGTCTCGAACCTCCAATCCCGCTGAACGGATATTTGCACCTACTGCGCCTAATATGTGATTTGGATGTTTGTTGAAGTCTAAAAACTGCGTTGTCAAGTTCAATTTTTCAGCTGGGATGAAATTGATTTCGGATGATCCCTCCAGTAATTGCTTTGCTGTTGTCCAATTCAGAAACGATACTGGGCTTCCTGTATCTATCGTCATATTGATGATTTGATTATTTACTCTGACCAGCGCTTTCAATGCTTTTATTTGATGCAATTTTGGGTCTCTTCGTATATCAATTTTTCTGATATCTTGAGTAACGTTATTTTCGTTTTTGTCGTCTATTCCTGATGTTTTTTCCCAAAACTTTTGTCGAGTGGTTTCCTCGACTTTGGTTCAACAACCATAATGTCGAACTCGTCGCAGGAATCAAAGCTGTGAATTAAATTACATTCTTTCTCTGAGCAAGAGTTTTCTTCCGCAATCTCGTTTACTTGATTCGAGCGGCACATTTTTGCGAAATGGTTTTGTTTATTACAGCTCTTGCAGGTCTTCCCCATTGCTGGGCAACTTTTCAAGTGACCTTCTTCGAATTTTCTATCACATCGTGTGCATGGTTTCTGATCTGTTCAAGAATTTTCGTTTCTGTTGTCATTCCACTTCCTTTTGGATAGATCTCTATTCGGTCTTTTGTAGTTTGAGTTTCTATTCCCAACTGCCATTATCAGTTCTTGTTTTATTTTAATTTGCGGCCCAGGAAACTGTCCCACGCTTGTGTTTCCAGTCACTGATTGCTGAAACGCTTGTGTCGTTTGTTTACTCTGCTCAAATTTAATAATTCGTTTGAGTACTTCGTTTTTCGTAAACTTTTCGAACGTTAGGGTATCTTGTAGTGCTATTTTTTTCATTCTGGATATGAACAAGTCTCGTACCAATTCCTCTTCCAATCCGCCCAATTCAGCCGTGGCAGCCTGTGCAGTTAGTGCCGCGTGGAGCGATTCTAACGTCTCTACAGTTTCGTGGACTCTGGTGAATAATCTATCGTACGTGATGTTTTTCGTTTTTTTTTCTTCAAATGATACTTTGGCCAAATTCACCATTTCTCTAGACTCAAGTTTTGATACTTCCATGTGTAGATTTTTCTGCACGAATTTCCTTTTTCCCTCCGTGCCCAGCGCCAGAAGTAGACGAGACGTAAGACATTTTTGGACTTCATTGTAGAACACAATGTGTCCGACTTCAGATCCGCGTTCCCTTCTTTCTTGGTTTTCGAGTATAACTTTGTCTCTTGCTAGTCTATCTCTCGCTTCCCGGTCCCATACTGCCTGTGCATCTTCGGTCGATCCCGGAGTTTCTGGGCGAGGCATTATTTCATCAATATTTTCTTTCGGATCTTCTAGTAATATCTCAGGATTCATATTTTCCTTCACTGTCACCGCTAGCATAAATTGGTCCAACCAAATTTTAAAATTCCACGGTGGATCCGAACTAGCTGATGTCCAGAAAACTGGGATACCTATATCCGTTTGCTTATCCTGTGCCGTGAATCCTACTGATTGTGCAATGTGGTAAGGTAACTAATGCTGTACACTCAGTTGAAAACAGATGTAGTTGAAAGAGTGAATTTAGTCTTTGAAACTAAGTTCTTGTCTTTTCTACTTTCATCGGTTCCTTGAACCAGCTCATGGTTCCGTATCTTTGTACGCAGAGCTCAATAACAACTGAAATAAGTCGATTTGATGTTCAACACCCAAATTACCTTGATACTAAGTTACTAACAATATAATTACAGATAACAATATGAGTCCCAAGGTTAGTGTGCAGCGAGGTCAACAATATTACTGCACACGCACTATGTGATGTACCACAAGAGGTAGGACTTAATACAAAATTAAGAGCCAGTTATCGCCGCAAAGCGGCGACGCGCGCATAGCGCGCCCACCGGCGGCCTTAAACCGGACTGTTTAGTATTGGACTGTTTTTTATGGGATTGTTTTGTATATGCACCAAAAAAAACATAATTTGA